GTATGTGCCAATTTAAAATTTTGGGGCCCAGCTCTTGAAAAACAAAGCATACCTTGTCTTGGACGTGCAGCAGATGATGTGAGCTGAGAGACTGTTTGCAGAAGGGTAATGGTCTCTTTATTTTTAAGACCCTTAGCAGACAGTGAGAAGCTGCCAGTGCAGAGACACAGAAATGTTGAGACCCTGAAGTCACCAGAGTCAGAAGCTCCCCTAGTAGAGAAGAAGAGCAAGAAACCCAAAAAGAAGGAAAAGAAACACAAAGAAAAAGAAAGAGACAAAGGAAAGAAGAAAGAGAAGGAGAAAAAGGTAGTAGAAGAGGAAGAAGGAAAAAAGGTAATTCTCCAAGACTAACATTATTTTAGAAACCATATTTATTGCTTTGTTCTGTTTGTTGCTTAGGAACAGTCACATTTGACAATTCAAACCACTGAATGTTTTCAACCTTTATTTTCTTAAGTTTTTACAACCATAAGAGCAGGTATTTAAAGATTTCCATTAATAAAAATAACATTTACTTAGTCTCCTAAGTTAACGGAATTCAGCTTACTGCAGCCTACACAGTAGATCTTCCAGATCTAATTTGGAAGCTGAGTGTAGTGGTATTTTGTCTGTTCTTAAAATGGGGAACTCTAGCAAAATATCTGGAACTCACTTTTGTTCTACATCCTGTCCCCTGCATACTTCAGAAACTTTTAGTTACAAAACTTGACATTAGTTGTCAGTTACTCTGAAGACTTGAAGTATCTTTCTTGTTAACCACTCTGCAGAGATGCACTTTTCCTCTAAGATGCAGCGAATGTGCTTTGAATGCCTCTAGATATTGTGATAATTAGGGTAATCTGCAGTTACTGTAAGCTATGTCCAGGTTTGGAAGTGTCCTCAAAGGCTGAAGTTGAGCTCCTTGAACTATTTGCTCCTAAATGTATTGCAGCATCTGCATATGAGCATTCTGGAACAATACATGTCCATGAAAACGTAAGGTTTTCATTTAATTGATGATTTTGGTTTTGTTTGCTTTTTTAAAGAATGGTATCAAAACAACCATAATGGTTTTGTTTTCTCTTGAAATCCAGGGGGAAGACTTGGATTTCTGGCTGTCCACTGCTCCACTGCCTGCTTCCACTACCCAGCCACAGGTAGACATCTTACCACATCACAGGAAACTTTTTCTTATGATTGCATCTTAGCTGTGATACAAGTGCTTTGTCATGCTGCAGGAGAGAAGGG